ATTTTTTAAAAAGATTTATATATAAATATATATAAAAAAAGTGATACCAAAAATGTAATTTAAAAAATGAAATATAAGCCATATATAAGTCATAAAACAAAAGTCAATTTTATATAATTACTATTAATAGATCTATAAAAATACTAAGTAAAATAATATATAAATATGATTTTTTATAATTTTATATAGTGAATTATTTTAATTTATTTTTCTTAATAAAAGTAAAATTTAATTACAAAATTATTAATAAAATTAATTTATAAATTTAATAAAAATTAACATAACCATATTCCCATTTTTTTTAAATTTCCCCAATTTATTTTTAAAATATATTTTGCAATTTTTTGACCGAGCAACAAGCATTATATTTGTTTTAAGATTGATATGGACATCAGAAAATATCTTTTAAAGAATGCAAATTAAGGTAATTCTATATTTATTATAATAAACATTAATTTCCTATCAAGATCATCATCGCAAGAAAATAGATTCAATTTCAAATGAAAATAGGGTATCAGAAATATTATATAACAATCATGAAAATATATCAAAAAAGAAGGAAATTAGAATAAATTTAACAAGGATTGATGAACGTATATTTTATATTTATAATGAATTTATATATCTTTTTTTAGTGATGTTGCTGGGAGATAATAATTCTCTAAATATAAGAGACCTTGATTCAAGTAAGAACTATTTGAATATTAACATAATTATTATTATTAGTTGTTTTTGATTTTCAAAAAGATGATCAAATATTAGAGATTGTGCTAGAGAATGAGAAAAGTAATCCTATCATCCAGGTAGTCCCAATAGGTATTTTATTTTAATATCATTATGTAATTTACATTTTTTTAAGTTAATGTTGTTGATGAAAGATCTGCAGTAAATCTTATACAGTCAAGAGTTCAAAATATGGAAAGTAAAATTTCTATTTTAAAAATATGTAAATAGTTTATTTAGGTACTTTACCATTTGACATAAGTAATTATGTTCAAATGGATGTAGCCCCCAAAGAGTTTAATATACTAGAGAGTATATATAGGCCACCCAATAATTATAAATTTTCAAGAGATCTTTCTAGAAGGAAATTAAAATTTCAATTTAATTGGTTTATCACTTGGCCTTGGTTGGCTTACTCACCTTCATAAAATGGGGCTTATTGTTAATATTGTGTTCCATTTGGACCAAAATATGCTGGTAAAGGTGAACAAAAATTAAAGCGACTTGTGAATTGCCCATTAGACGTTGGAAAGATGCAGGAGAGAATTTTGAAAATCATCAAAACAATTTATACCATAAAAATACACAAAATATTATATTATCTCTTAGAGCAATTAATGCTAATGATAGAGATTCTATCATTCATATATTAGGTACACCATTAAAAATTATTAAAAGAGAATTATTTATTTTTTATAAAGATCAAGGTAAAAAGAAAATAGCAAATGAAAATAGACGAAAAATATCTCCTATAATAGATGCAATAATTACATGTGGAAATCAATGTATGGCATTAAGAGGTCATCGAGATTCAGGTTGTATATTTAAGGATGATACAAATGAAAATGATGGGAACTTTAGAGCTATTCTCAGAAACCGAGCAATTGGAGATGATGAGCTCAGGATTAACTTGTTAAATGCACCTAAAAATGCTACGTATTTAAGCCCGACCATTCAATACGAAATCATTGATGTGTGTAATGATTTAATATTAAGAAAGATAGTTGCCAACATTAACAAGTCTCCATTCTTTTCAGTCTTGGCAGATGAATCAACTGATATATCTGGCCTAGAGCAAATGTCCTTGTGTGCTCGATATTTATATTCTGAAAATGGTAAAATTTATATTTTATATAAATTATTATCATTTATATAGATGAAGTCATAGGCGTAGCCAGGATTTTCATAAGGGGGGGGGGAATTAACGCCCCCAGGTCCCCTTTTGGGCGGGGATTCGGCCCGCTTTTCCCCGGCCTTCGGCCGGGTTACTTTAGTCTATATAGTCATAAAATATTTTTACAAATTTTAATAAAAAAAATAAGCCTGGAACAAATGTGAAATATATTTTTATTAGTTTATATAAAATAAAAATATAATAAATTACTTGTATTGTATATACCTTAATATAAAAGCATGGTAATAATTTATTCCAAACAATTATAAGAAATTTATTTATAAAAAGTAAGTAGACATATAGTTGATTTTACTCTATTATATAGAATTAGTTATAAAATACTAGGTAACCACTTTTACAGACATATTTGACAGTTAGAGAATATATTACAGTTAATAATTTAACAAATTTTACTAATCAATGCTCTTGATATTAAATATAGCAACAATTTGCATTCAATTATTTAACGCCATCTATTTATTTTAGGTAAAAATGTTATTTAAATTTAATCTTCATATTATTTATCCCACAATGTCTTTAAAAGATATGATGTCCTTATCAATATTTTATAGTTTTCTGTAAAATATATAATTCGCTATATTGGTAAAAATGACTTAATTGTCATTTGATAATTAGATATACTGTAAATCTACGACATATAATATTCCACTGATTGTATTGTGCTTTAATATTTTTTTAATTTATGACTTAATTTTATCAATAGTTTTATAATTATATTTTACTTTTATTAAGATAAATAAATTAAAATTACTCACTTTATAAAAAATTATATTTGATATATTATATTATTTAGTAATTTTATGGATCTATTATTAATAATTATAATATATTTCACTTATTTCTTAAGACTTATTTTTGGCTTATATTCCATTTATTAAAAAACATTTTTGGTTCATTTTACATATTTATAAATTTATTTTCCCAAAAATCTATAAATTATGATGAATAGTTTTATAAAAAAAATATCAACTATTACATTCTTTCTTTTAAATTATTATTTAAGATATATGCATACATATTTGAGGGTCAGGGAGTGGGGGGGGGGGACTAATGAGGATATTTTTTTATTAGCTAAAAATGATATTTACAAAAAGTGATAGATTTCTGAAGGGGGGGGGGATTTCCCCTTGTCTTCCCCCCTGGCTACACCTATGGATGAAGTACAAATAAAAGAAGACTTTTTGCAATTTATTCCGATTCAAGATATGAGAGGTGAATGTCTTGCTAACACAATTGATGTTCATCTTAAAAAATTTAAAATTAATGTTAATTTTATGCGGGGACTAGGATATGATGGTGCCCCTGCTATGAGTGGACATTTAAATGGTGTTCAATCACATTTAATAAAAGAAATCTTACTGCAATTTATGTACATTGTGCATCGCATTCCCTAAATCTAGCCATTTCTGATTGTTGCTCAATTCCCGTTATTCGTAGTACCATGGATTTATTAAACTTTTATTTTAATTATAATCATATATTTAAAAAGGCACAATATGCAAGGTATATGATATGTTCAAGTATCCAAAAAGATCTAATGTCCTCAAAAATATTCTGGCAAAGGAAGAATTTGGCAATAATCATCATAAACTTGTGAAAATGTGCCCTACAAGATGGATCCTACGACATGAATCGGTTGCAGTTTTTCTTGAATTAGTTTACCCGATAATTGTTGCATTGGAGGAAATATGTGGATGGACAGATACATCAGTGATGGCAGAAGCCAATGGAATTTTGAAAGCGATTCAAGATCCTGAGTTTTTATTGGCCATTAATGGCATTAACACTCTCTTCTGCCACACATATTATTATGCAGAGCTTTGCAAAGAGTGAACCAAGATATGATTTAGGCATTGATCTTAGCTGAAGATGCATATAATGCTATTTTACAGATAAGAAAAAATGCTGATTGTGAATTTAGAACGATTTTTAACAAAGTTCAAAAAAAGTGCAATCTTATAATATGATAATAAGCATGCCAAGAATAGTATTAAGACAAGTACATAGGAATAATATTTCCTTACAATCAGTTGAGGAGTATTACAAAATTATTATTTTTATACCACTTGGACACTTTTTTAACTCAGATTAAAGAACGTTTATTAAACCATAAATTTTGCTAAGTAACTTTCAAATTTTGTTATCCTCTAATCCATCTGTGAACATTTCGGATGGCATTAGAAATAAAATTCAGTATTTATATAATTTTTATTTGCAAGATATGGTAGGGACCGAATTAGAAGTAATAAGTGAATTTAAGTATTGGTTTGCCAATTTAAAAAGAATGGATATAAAGCCTGATAATGCATTAAATGCACTGAATATTTGTAAACACACACTAATTGAATTTCCGAACATAACAAAATTATTTCAAATTTTAGCATACCTCCCAATTACAACATGTACAAATGAAAGAACTTTCTCTAATTTAAGAAGACTAAAAACATACTTACGAAATACTACCTTGCAAAATAGATTAAATGGTTTAGCGCTATTAAATATTCATCGGGAATTAACACCAGATAATACTGAAATAATTAATGAATTATCAAATTCTAAATGAAAATTAGATATAACATTATAAATTATTACCACGTTTTTGTATGATCTATCTTATATTACACAAAACATAAATTATTACCACGTTTTTATATGTTCTATCTTATGACATAACATAAATTAATACCACATTTTTTTGTGATCTATCTATATTAACAATAAACTAATAAAAATATATTTCATATTTCTTCCGGGCTTATTATTGTTAAAAAAAATTTAAATATATATAGGATTAAATTTTGTAATTCCCCCCCCCCCCCCTTAGGAAAATCCTGGCTACGCCTATGGGTCTTATATAAAAATAATCTATTAATATATTTAAATATACAAGGAAATATTATAAAATTTTATATATTTAAATCAAAATATTATTTGATCGATCTTGACTATTTTTGTGCCAAGTCATGTTGACATGACACATAAATATAGAAATAATTTGATTAAAAACATTTCTATATTTTTTAATTTATTTGAAAATAAAATTTGACTTGCAAAAATTGTTAAAATAAGATATTTATATATTCTTATTAATTTTACTAGTTAAATAACTTTATTTTTTCATCTATCTTTTTTTCACAATTTTAATTCTTTACATATAATAAATATAAGATATAACGTTGCAAAGAAATAATTTAAAAATACAAAATAATAAAAGTATTACAAAGTTTGTTTAAATTATGTGAAGTCATATTATAAGAACCTATTCTAATTTAAAGTTATTATAATCTTAGGTCTTATATAAAAAATCTAACAATATATTTAAATATACAAGGAAATATTATAAAATATTATATATTTAAATCAAATTATTATTTGATCGATCTTGACTATTTTTGTGCCAAGTCATGTTGACATGACACATAAATATAGAAATATTTAAATTCTATACATTTGTATATCTATTATTAATGCCTGAAACAAATATTTTTTCTAAGATAGATGATGCTCAAACTAAAGCAAAAACTATTGAAGAGAATATCGGGACAATTAATATGGAATTAGAATCCCTTGCTAACGTTTTAAGTATTATGGCTTCTTTTTTAAAAATATCTTCAAAAAATATAAAGGAAAACTTAATGATAATGATGAAATAGTTAATTTAAAAAATGAAAATGTTATTCTTAAAAAGGAAATTACTAAGGTCAAAAACGATTTATTTTTAGCTGAAATTTGGAATGGTGGTAAAATTTTTGCATTTATTCTTAAATTGGCTTAAAGTTAAGCAATATAAATTGCAAGGTAATATTGAAAATAAAAACAACGATGGGGATTCTGTTTTTTGCAATGAAGAAGGTATATTAAATTTGAATATTTTTTTAGCATATATTTATCAGAGCTCTATGATTCTAACAATAAAACTAATAAAATCAACAAGAATGAAACAAAACCATCTGAAAATAAAAAATTGAATATAGAAATATCTGAAAGTACTGAAATATCCAATTTTTCTTCACACTTAGATATGCGAGTGGGAATTATTAAATCTGCTGAGAAACATCCAGATGCTGACAGTTTATATGTAGAAAAGATTGATTTGGGTGAAACTGAGCCTAGGACTATTATAAGTGGGCTGGTAGCTCATGTAACAATAAATCAAGTATTTTTATATTGGCATATTTAACAAAAATTATGCATGAATGAATAATTTTTATATTTTATTATCATTTTAGAGTAATATTGAATAAAATTTTTTACTTTGTTTCTTATAATATTAATAGGTACTCATGTAACCATAAATCTGGTATTTTTATATTGTGGTATATTAAAAAAGATTAAATATTTTACTTGAAGTTTATTATAATTTTAATAAGATGTAATATTAATGTACAATTAACTATAAATTTAAAATTGTAACCCCCCTCCCCTCTCATCCAAGGAAATAATCATTCTTAATTTTTTGTCCTAGTCTTATAGATATTTGCAGAGTTGTTAAAAGATACTTTTTAAATAGATCTAGATTCAGTTACATGATCTAAAAAGTTATCTAGATACAAATACAATTTAAAAATATATCTAGATGTAGATACATTTTTTATTATACTCATATAAGGTTTGCATAAAGCTAAATTAGGATTTTATTGTTCATGAAATGAGCTAAAAAAATTTATTGACTCGATATTTATCAAAATATAACTAAAATATTGATTTTTAGATTTTAATATAATATATAATATATGAAAATATGATTAAATGATTATAAATAATTATTAGATATCAGTAATAAAATATTTTCAAGATTTTGGTCATTAAGGCATCCTCCTTTATCTGTAGACATTCTTTGCTCCATTAAAAAGTCTTTTTACAAGGGTGCTTGAAGAGATTGTGGTGTTATATTTTATGAATAACAATTTTATATCAGGATTGACATTAATTTTTGAAAAAATTATTTATAATTTGTTGAGTATCAAAATTTAAATTATTATTAACAAGCATACTATTGGCATCCACAGTCACAACAAGATTCAATGTATGATGGCACAACATTGATGATTAGATAAACTATATGATTTTGATATTTCAAAATCCTGAGCAATATTATAAAGACTTGATATTGATATTGGTACAACTGCTCCTCATCTTTCAGATCATCCATGGATTCACTACTATTTTTAATTGACTTAAAGACCAGGGATGTGAACCCTTCGACAAAAAAAGGGCCCAGGTCTGGGTTCGGGTACAGGAATAAAATTTAAAAAGGTCCTGGGTTTGGGTTCAGGGAACATAAAAATAATGACTCAAAATAAGATTTTTTTCATTCATTTATTATTATACTTCAATATATACATATTCATAATTTACAAATGTAATTTATATTTTAAATGTTTTATTCAATCGCACAATCATAATATATTCTAAAATATCATCCTTGAGATTTCCACATCAATTAGACAATATATATTTCAAAGATGAAAATTCACGTTCGACCCTTACCTAAAATAGATAGTTATCTTTATAAAATTATTGTATTTGTGTCGCCGGCACAGATATGAAGATTCTAGATAAGATATATAATTCTCGATATATATTGAAGAATTTTAAAATGTTTGTATCCTTATTTATTCTCTTAACATTTCTATTAAAGCTGCAATAGGCATTTTTTGATCCTCCTTTCTATCTTTTGATAATTTGATTTTTTTATCTATCTAAAAGTAAAATTTCAAGATCATCAATGTTGCTATCATAATTATTATTATCACAACAACCAGTAAGTATTGTTGTAGCCTCCAATATATTGTAAATAATGGAGTTTTGCTTATGCCATAAATCCATAAGATGGTCTTTAGCCATTTGCTTGCTCAATACTTAATAAAACTTGATATCGAGGGTCTAAATATATAGAAGCGATAACACTATTTTGCAAATATTGTTGCACCCGAATTTTCATGTTTTCTAATATTTTGTATAAAAAGGATTGTAAATTTTTCTAAATCTAATCGGCATCTAATTCATATGTCATAAAAATCAAATAAACATAATTGTTCTGATTGTAATTTTAATATTGTTATTTTTAAAGGAACTAATACACTAGTAAGGTCCTTTATTTGGCACCAATTATCTTCTGACAAAATGACTTCACATGCTCCTATAATAAAATTATTACAGAAATCTTTTAAACTTAATAATCGTTCTAGCATCATTGAGACCAACGTGTTGTGAATTACCATTTAAATTAAAATATTATTACTTGCAATACAAAATAATTCACTTTCAAAATAATCAACGTATTTCTATAACATAGCATATTAATAAATTTACATAATAAAATATTACCTACACTAGAAAATAATTTATGATATCAATATCTAAATAAAATGGAAGTCCAGGAAGAAAATTGAAAGAAAAATGCAAATATAAAATAAATGATTCCACAAAAAAAAGTTAATAAAATTTAAAAAAAATTATATTATTTTTTAGAAAAATATTTTTATTTTTAAAAATTTTTATGACATCTAAAACTCTTGGACCCTCTACTTTTAAAAGGGTCCGGGTCAGCCACAATACGAGGGTCTGGGTTCAGGTTCACATCCTTGTTAAAAACTCAAAAATAAATAAGTAATCCTAATCATATATTATGTTTATATTTATAATAAAATAAACCTAAAAACTTTGAGAACATTTTTGGCATTGTCAGTAATGGTCTTTGAGATTTTATTTTGAATGAATGCAATAATCCTTTGCTATATCTTGTAAATTCTTTGCCATACCAGTCATTCTTTTTCAAGCCAACGCTACATTTTTTCTTAAATTTGTTGGATCTAAATAGTGTGCAGTGACTCCTATGTTTGAACAATAAATTAACATTTCTTAAAACTGCTAAATAATTTGTTCTTTATTATTATACAAATTTAAATGTTAGCTATACCGGTGATAGGCACGCCAACAATCTACTGTTGTGCATATTACCGAGGTTCTATTAGACTTTTTATGATTTCTTTCTTTTCATTTTCCCATCTTTGGGAAATTCTACCAACCACTGTGTTGGCAAATTATATTTTTGTTAATATTTTGATCATTTTTATAAATGAAGGATTTTCAACAATTGAAAATGATTAATGCTAGCTATATTAAAAGCAGTTATTTAATCATCTAAAGTGGTTTGGGTTCAAGTCTGAAATCTCTTGGCAAAAATATCAGTGGACGATGAGCCTACCAATATTTCTTTAGTAGATTTATTCCTTCCCCTTTTTTATTTTCATTAACAGTGTTTCATGTTTTCTCTTAAAATTTAAAATTACGATTATAAACATTTAGTATCTGTATTCTTAAATGTTATACAATGTTGCAAGTTGAGGTAATGATAACTGAAATTTTCGTATTTTTTTATAGACATGGCAAACATTTTACTATCAGAGATTTGTTTTCTTTATTTTGAGATATTATCTTAAAATATGCTCTATAAACTGGCCATGGAAAAACAATGTCTGAACTTATTGATGATTCATTGATTATTACTTCTTCCGAACTTATTGATGCTTCATTGATTATTACTTCTTCCTCTTCATCACTATTAATAGTAATCTAAAATAAATTTTTAAAATTAGTATAATAATATAAAATTAACCAATTCCATATAAAGTAAAAATGGGAGATGGATTGTAATATCCAAATTTGTCTGGTTTATTTATATACTCAGATATAATATATAATTAATATTTATATATATTTTTTTTATATATAAGTTTAAATAATTTATATATATATGATTTTTTATTATAGTAGTCTTAATATTTTTTAATATATATTTATTTAAATTATATGCTCATATGAAATAAAATAAATTTTGCATACAAGTATTTTTATTTAGAATATAGAAGCGTTAAATAAAAGTATATCAAAATGTATCTTAAAAAGTTTCTAAAAACATATATAGATACCTCTAAAATAATATCTAGATCAGATACCACATTTTTATATCTAGATACTTTAACAACTCTGGGGATTTGCAAATTCAACTTTTTTCAACCTGGCCCAACTCAAAATTTTGATAAATTTTCTAGTGCAAATTTTATAATTTTATTAATATTCAGAGTTGGGAAAAATTCTGAATATGTATTTTATTTGGATTTCATAATGAAACTTTACAAATCAAATTTGAATGAAAATAAAGTAAATTTTAATAAATAATTATCTATTGCTAGAGAAGATGTTTTGGAATTATGAGTGCCAAATTTAGGCACTTATATAAAGCTTAGAGACTAATGTTATTAATATTGTGTTAATAGTTAAGGCAGACTACCTTTTACACAATATTATTTTATTATTGATATTGAGGGCAATCAAAGTTCACAAATTAATTTTATATGAAGAATGTCCCTTCCAAATTTTACTCAAACTCAGTTCCAGCTATGAACTGAGAGCTCTAATAATATTAGAGATGCATTTAATTTATGTGCAAATCAAAGACCTTTACATGGGCAGGGCTGTATTTTATTTATTTTTTTAAAAATATTAGGCCAGGCCTGAAAATTTTTAGGGCCATGCAAATGGTATCTCTGCAGGTCTCTGATGTAAATAATGAATATTAATCTTGTATTTTTTTTTATAAATCTATTTTTAATATTGTTTACATTTAAAATAAATAGTTTTGATTTCATTATTGTTAATATTCTTAGACATAATAATTTTTATTATTTAATATATTATAAAAACATGCAAAATATAAAAATTATACATATATATAGTGGTAAAATTTTATAAAATTTGATTTGAATTCAAAAATTTCTTTATTTGTCATCCCATTATATTTAATCTTTATAGGTATTAAAAAATCCCATAATACGATGTGTATCATGTTCATGAGATGTGGTGAAGGTCACGGTCCTGTCTTTGGTCGAGACCAGACCGATGAACTCGGATTAGACTGAATTATGGTCTTTTATAATAAGATCGCTCCAAATCTTGATCCTAAATAAATAGACAGGTCCAAGACTGGTCTTTCTACTTTTTCAGTATTTTAAAATATTTTTGTTTTTACCTAATATAATTCTTGCTTATTGGGACTATAAATAAAATGCTTCTTTCAAAACTCATGGTTTTCATATTGCAAAATAAAAATGAATTAAAAAATCACAAAAATTTCTAAATAAATTAAATTAAATTTTTTAAAAAAAATAGGTAAAAAAATAAGATTAATTGAATAATAAAGCAAACTTAAATATAGATCCGTCCGGGTTACGGCCTTAAAAAAATCAATCCGGCCCCAGTCTAAGACCGGTAGGACAAGACCGTT